TCTGAGCACTGCTGTACATTCTTGCTGGTATCCTAAGAATGCAAGGTCCTGACTACTTTTTGCCCAGTCCACATCTGTCCATATCCTCGTTAATTATAAATCTGGCCCAACCAGCATTGCCCTAATACCAAAACCAGACAAAGACATTAGAAGAAAAGAAAACTACAGACCAATACTCTTGTAACATGCGAATATCCTTAACAAACTACTAGCAAATCAAGTCCAACAATGTATAAAAGTATGCTGGCATCATAATGGTGAGAAATTCAAAGATTTCCTGCTAAGATCAGGAATAAGACAAATATGTTCCTTCTCACTACTGCTTTTCAATATCATATTGGAAGTCCTAGCTAATGTGATAAAACAAGAAAAGGAAATAAATCTGGCCCAATAGTCATGTATTAGTATAACTGAGAGCAAAGGCTAAAACAGTACATTTGCCCATTAAACTCCTCTGTTTTTATTTATAAAGGTAAAATAAGAAATGTCATTTAATATAATTTCTTAATTTCTAAAACGAGTACAAGACAATCTTCACTGTTATATAACTTCTTGGCACTGATAAAACTGTAAGTTAAACAGGTGAAAATTAATTTGAAAAAAATATTGTTTACCTGATTGAAGTTGTTCAAGTTTATCTTTTTTGTGTGAAGCCAAGTCCCCTATAAAGCAGATACTACCTTTAGCTAGCAAAGCACTGCCAGCCTGAACACTAACTGCTCCAGTTCCATACTTATTTCTGGATACAGTAGGAAAAATTTCAGCAGAGACTGGATGACGTATACCACGGGGCACAAGGTTTATACTAAAATTCAAAAGCCTAGAAAAAAATAATAAATTATTCATTACCATTACTTAATATTTGGTTTTCAGAAATCATGATGTATAATAGCTACACGATCAAATTTGATTTGATTCAATGTTTACTAAGCACTTGCTCCAGGAATAAGAACACACATGAGACTTGGTCTTTAACTTGGAAACCTCACAACCAAGAAACAGAAAGAGACGTAAACAAAAAACTAAAACACAATGTAATAAATACTGAAATAATGTCATGAGTACATCCAGAAGAGTATTGCTTCTTCCTGTAAGAAAGTGAAAGCAACAGAGAGGTGACATTTGAAGTAGGCCTTCCTCTTTTTCTGAATTGCTATCTTTTGTTTATTCAGAATTTTTGCGTTTACACTTGCCAAGAGCCCATCCTGTCTATCTCGCTGCCTATGTATCATGGTAACTCTTGATACGCCCTTTTACTTTCTAATCTCTTTTCCAATTGCCTTGGCCTCTACGTTTCTCAAATTTAAATTTTTAAGAAACATAATTATCTTAGCTTAACTTTCAAATCTTTGTCACAGAAATCACAGCTTGCTGGTGCAATCAATTGTGATGAGCACACATAGACATTCAATGCAAGTTTAATGCAAAAAAGGAAGCAGCAGCATCCCTTAAATGTCGGTAAGTGGATGCTATAAAATGTCTACAGTATGTGCCATTCCCAGGGTGTTTGGGTGTTAGTTCGAAGATACATAAAATGGAGTGAGATTTAGAAAGAAACTTGCTAGCTTATGGAGCAGCAAGTAATGTGGTTCTCAACTCACATTAAAATCACGTGGGCAGTTTTAAAAAATTCCATAGCCAAGCCCTACCCCAAATCAGGGAAATTAGAATCTATGGGGGTGGACCACAGTCATATACATAAATTATAAAATTCTTCCAGGTGATTCTAATGTATGGTCAAGCTGAGAAACTAGTTACATAGAATGGGCCTCATATTTGGCTGCATGTTGGAATTAGTTAAGGATTTTTTTTTCAATACAGAACAAGGTCAGAGTACAAAAGTCAATTGTATTTCTATATATTCACAGCAAATATTTGAAAAAATGAAAAATAATAAAACACTACAATTTTAATAGCATCAAAAATAACACATATTAGAAATCAACAACAAAACATGTGCATGACCTTTTACAAACATTGCTGAGAGAAATTAAGGAAAATTTACATAAATGAAGATGTATACTATATACAACAACTGGAAGACCCAACATTGTTAAGACATAAATTTTTCCCCAAATTGATTTGTAAGTTAAATACAGTCCCAATCAGAATGCTTAAAGGCTTCTTGGGGGAAGGAAGGTCAGGCAGGGAAAGTTGGTACTAACATAATGATTCTAAACTTTATAAGAAAATGAAAAGGACCTAAAATAGTGGGAAAAAAAAATACTGAAAATAAGGAACAAAGTCATAGAATTTAACATAGAGCTAAAATTAAAAAAAAAATGTGTGGTATTGGCATAATTATAGACAAATGGGTCAAAAAACAAAAAAAGAGTTCAAATAAATTTATACTCCATTCAATTTTATACCTAGTTTACACACAGTTCAACTGATTTTTAAATGATGGTATTAAAATGATTCAATGGGGGAACAGAAAATCTTTTCAACAAATAGTATAAAAAATTAGATAAATACATAGGAAAAACATTAACCTTGACTCTTATGTCAAACCATATACAAAAATTAACTTGTGACAGATAACGACCTAATGTAAAACTATAATGCTTTTTGAAGGAAACATAAAATAATATATTTATGACATTGGAATAGGCAAAGATTTCTTAAACAGAACCCATAAAACACCAACATGTAAGAAAACAAATTGGATTTCATCAAAACTAAAGTCTGCTCATCAAAAATATCTTTAAGAAAAAAACACGAGTTTCAGACTAGGAGAAAAATTTCATACATGTGTGACAAAGTATGTGATATGCATATGTAACAACAGACAAGTAACCAAAACAACCACATTTAAAAGAGAGCAAAGGACTTGAACAGATACTTTATAAAAGATATATGAGCACATGAAAAAGAGCTCAAATCAGTAGGCACAGGGAAATGAAAATTAGAACCATGGTGAGATACCATTTCATTTAACACTACAATGGCTAAATTGAGAAAGACTGACAACGTCAAATGTTGGTGAGGACAGAAATAGGAATCTTACCTTGAGAGGAATTTAAATGATAAAACCACTTTGGAAAAATGGCAGTTTCTTATCAAGTTAAACATATAATCAAGTTAAACATATATCTACATTATAATAGCAATTCCACTCCTAAGTATCCAAGATAATGAAAACACGTGTCCACAAAAAGACTTGTATAAGGTTGTTTATAATATGAAAACAAGCAAAACCAAAATCTTCATCACTAGGAGACTGGATAAACAAATTCTGGTATATTCATATAATAGAATACTACTCATTAATAAAAATGGTGAACTACTGATACACACAATTGAGTCAATCTCAAAAAACATGAAAAATATGTTAAGTAAAAGAGATTCAAAGAGTATGTACTGTATGATTCTATTTATATGGAGTTCAAGGAAAGGAAAATTAATCTATGGTGACATAAATCACCTGTGGAGATAAGAACTGATTGGAAGAGGGAAAGAAAGAACTTTCCGAGGTGACGGAAATGTTCTGTATCTTATTATGGTGATGGCTATAGGAGTGTATGCATTTGTTAGAACTCATCAAATTGTGTACTTAAGATCTGATTATTTCACTATATATAAATTTTACCTAAAAAACAAAATAAAACAAAAGAAAAACCAAATCTCTCATAAGTCTCAAACACCACAGGAAAAGTCAAAAGGTCAATGACAAACAGGAAAACAGACAACGGCCTTAATTTATGAAGTATCACAAATCAATAATATAAACGACTTAATAGAAAAGTGAACAATGGTCAAGGAGTTTTATAAAAAAATAAGACATGTTTAACAAGCTGTAAATGATGTTAAAACCTATTTCAATTAAAGAAATGCAAATTAAAATAAAATACCATTTTCCTCCACTCAGATGGAAAATTTTAGTTTGATAATACCTAGTGTTGGTGAGGCTGTGAAGAAACATTGTCATGCTCATATGGAAAGATAAATTGGTGCAATCTGTTGCAGTTAGCACCATATTTACATTGCAATTTAATTTTAGCAAAATATCATCTGTCCAATTAAGTCATTGTTAATTTGAATTTCATTTTAAGTTTAAATTCATTCTATAAATTTGTTTTGTTTGACAATTACATACAAGATATTAATATAAGAAGCATATTCCTAGCTTTTTTTCTGAGCATTAGAGTAACTTTTCAAAAGGGGTACTTTTTAGTGAGAAGCTCCAAAATACTGAGTAGAGGCTTATTCCAAGTTTAGAATGATATCCCCAAATCAGTAATTTTGGCACTTTTGACAGCCTTATTTGGGTGCAGTGAGTCAATATTATTGAATGGAATCTTAAAGGAAAATAAAAAAAATGGCTTGTTGGTTCTCAGAGGGGAGAGTATTTTAAAATGAAAATAAAGTACGAAAGCAGAACACTAAGCTGGGAGATAGGGTAAAAGGACACTTTTGAAAGATGCATTTATTTTTAAAGCTGTGAGTGGAGAAATGGGTTGAAACTTTGAATGGTTAGATTCTCAATAGTGAAAGCAAATATCCCATTTCTCAATTCATATTTTGAATTTCACTGGTAAAAGTTTATTTAGATACTTATACTAGTCAGATAAATTCTAAATGTTTGTCTTGTCATAATATTCATGGAAAGAATTTATGCAAATCTATGACCAATTTATAATTTGAAAAATTTATGTCACATATTTTACCTGTCTACAAGTAGAGTATCACTTGTTATAATTAAAATATCCAGGGAATCTTCCAGTTCCTTGTTTCGGACACTTGTCTGTACTAGACTCATCAGCAAACAGAGTTTGAGCAAATTGTAAGTCCCAGGAGGAACAATCTGTGATGCAAAGATATTGGCGAGTATCGCTGTAAACTTCCAGCACGAGCTGGAAGTCAAAGAGAGGAGACACCTGAAACTGTCGCTAATCCCTGAAGGAACTGAAAGTAAACAACACATATGTTAAAAAGTGTTTCAAAACAAGAAAATGACAATATAGATGTCTAATTCCATTTCTCTAAAATATTATCAGATTGCAATTCTTTTAATGATGCCATATTCAAATTCTTATCAGGATATTAAATTATGATTGGAAATCACTTCAATCTATCACTTCTGTCCCAGAGAATGTAATAAAAGGAAGCAGTCACCCCATATGTCCACAAAGACTGGCTATGGTTTGCAAGTAAATCTCTCATTCTTCTCCTTTTAAGACCTATGTGAGCAAAGCCATATCATGGGGCTCCTGGTATTGTAGTGCTTGCTTCTGTATTTATATGTTTAAAATAATATCACCTTCAGTGAGGGCTAGAAAGAAGAATGCGAACCATTTGAATGTTGCTGTTAAAAGAGAAGATTTATACTCTAGTATTTTGAAAACACTCTACTTGTACTATAACATTCTCGATCTCCACTCCCTTACTCAGTCTAACTCTTGAAAGGAATGAGTGATTTAATCCAATTAGTCAATTTGAGAGTAATAGCTGTGTATGTCCTTTTCTCCCTCCTCTTGGGCTGCCCTCATACAGCAATGATTTTTAATACTCATCCAGGCTCATGAACCAAAGGGGGCCTACCTCAGTGTAGGTCATACCACATTTGGGGCGATTAAATCTGCCTAATTCTGGAGTACAAGATGAGAAAGCACACTTTTCTAATCTACATACAAGTCATGTTCTGCTACCAAATCAAGAAATCTTCAAACACTTCACAATGGAAAATATTTAAAAGATTACTAAAATGTCTATTGTCCATTAGTGCTTTCCTTCAACATTTTTATTCTTTTAAGAAGCTTTCTCTTCAAAACAAGCAGAGGTAACTAGAATACACTTGCATCTAAATTCAACTTGGGTTTCTATTATTGCAGATGATTATCTAGGGATTCTAAAAAAATCTAACTATTCATTTGTGTGCCAAGTTAAAAGAGTAAGTTTGCTCTACACTTTTTTTTACTTAATACTTAATTATGTTGGAGTTGTTAAAGAAACTATCAGTAATAAAGGTGATATTTTGGGCTCCATCTGCCTTTCTCTTGATTTGTTGAGAACTCAAATGAGGAAAAGAATGTTATTTTATTGGGCTCTTTCTCAGATCACAAGCTAAGGTTTAGCTAAGGCTAGAAAATAAAGGTTAGGATAGAAAAACCTTTTGACTAATCTCTAACTCTTGGCATCCTGAAACATTTTTCTCATTGCTAATTACAAAAATAAAATAAAATAAGGTTTAGCCAAAAGAAAGGAGTCCTTCCTGTGGGCAAGGTTATACATTATCCCATTTTATTTCTTCATAGTATTCATTATGTGAAATTGTCTTATTAGTTTATAGGTTTACTGTCTATGATATGATTTAAGAGTAGCAACTCTGTCCTGATCACAACTGTATTCATAGTGCTTAGAAAAGTGCCCAGCACACAGGAAGCCAATACTTATTTCTTGAAAAAATGAATTCAAACTTAAATATCTGTTAATATATGGTACTATCATTTTCCTTACCTTTTGGGTTGTAAAAAGTGATGCTATTTGTCTCTATACAGACAGAAGTTTGTGAAGTTTTCACACAGGTTGGAATTCCAATAATTTTATACTCATTTCCTATATTCATTTTATTCACTAATTCATCTAAAATTATTAAACATAAAAGAAAATGTGTTCAGTAAAAGAACCTTGATCACAAGGTTCAAAGATCTAGAACTAATAATAATTCAGCAGTTGAATAGCTGTATTTACTTTTGTTTAGTATAATATCCATAGAGAATGGCACTAATAATGTAAATTGAGGCAATTTTATTGCTGATAAATTTTGATAACTATAGGCAATGATGAATTAACTTCAAGAAGCTTGTGACATAGCAACTAGTCTCCTACAATATAGTCAAAAGGAAAAACGAGATCATTCTATTTAAGATGAAGTATCTTTGTATTAAATGACAAGAAATGTTAATAAAAATGACCTTATAGGTAATACTTTTATTTAGGAAGAAAATAATTTTAAAAGGTATTATCACTGTCTACCATATAGCCAAGGTACTTTTACATACATTATCTAATATAAACTTTAAGATAGGTATTGTTATCCCCACTTTGTATATGAAGGTACTGAGAAGTTAAGTGACTTACACAGGCTAAATGGTAAGTAGCGGAACTGAAATTCGTATCTAAGTCTGCCTATCTCTAAAGTCTAATCTCCTGCACATATTAGGTTCCTCTCTCACTCTTACAGATAAAATAAGCTTTTGCACAAGTTCAAATTTTATTTTTAAAAAATACACTAAAAGTCTTGATCCTCTACTACACAGTTAGAAGTTGGGTGGTTGTAAAGCTATGAAAGGCTTACAAAGAGGAACAAGGATTAACTTCTCTGTGAAGAAGATCAAACAGTTCTCTCTCTTACTTGCTAATCTATCATCTATCATCCATCCATCCATCCATCCATCCATCCATCCATCCATCCATCCATCCATCGAATCTATTTTAGCTCCAGAGGCCTATTGCACTAAGGGCCAAGGTAGCGTCACTTTTTGACCATCCATCCATCCATCCATCCATCCATCCATCGAATCTATTTTAGCTCCAGAGAGCATATTGGTGTACCCTGTAAACCTGGAAGGAAAGAATCAGACTCAAGAATTGAGAAAATAAAAACTCTAAACCAACCAGCCAACCAAATAATAACAATAACAAAAACAAGTAAATGATACAGAATGAATTACAAGGGGAAAATAAAAACGAATAGTTTTTCAACTGTGTCCTGGAATTTCAGAGTTTGGCGGGTGTGTCCTGAGGTGAAGGAAAGGTAAGGAGGAAGGCAAGGAGGCTGGGAAGTCTGGGTAGCTCTTTCAATGTCAACCCCAAAAGGCCTGCTTTTATTCATTTAATTTTTAAAAATTTGAGTTCTGTGTAAGAGTTTATTTGAAGAAAGGGTTTTCTACTAAAATATAAGTTGGATAGCCACTTATATTTCTACATTGTAATGTATGATTTGTATATAGTACATAACAGAAATAGTTAAAAGCATATATTTTGAAAATGGAATGCCTGAGTTTGTACCACATACTAGCTGTCTGATCTTTGACAAGTTACTTAACTTCTCTGTGCCTCAGTTACCACATTTTAAAATGATAACAATAAAATCTACTTGATAGGGATGCTGTGACTAAATGAGTTAATATATGTAAGAGTGCCTGGCACATAGCAACTGCTAAATAAAAATTATCTATTGTCATCTGGGCTTACATGCCTGCCTCATTCTTGACAGGCCATGGTGAAGGGTTTTTCTTTGAGTCTCTACTTTCTTGAGTTTCCTATACCTAGTTGACATCCAAGATCCCTCTTTCTGAACAGTTTAATTCCTCTAATTTTAGCCCAAGAAAAGAAGCTGAGCCCCATCCTCATTTTCACAGTTCTGACATCTCAGAGAAGACTCATATCTTCCCTGGGTGATTGATACTAACAATAATTTCCTCTTTCATGGCAGACTCTGTCTACTCACAGGTCTTTCTCCACACAGTTCTCAACAATGCTCATTCATTTATTTAACAAATATTTATTGAGTTTTTACTATGTGTAGTAAAAAGCCCAAGTCCTTACCCTCAAGAAACTTACATTCTAAAACAATAACCCCAATACTTACGTAAGACACACACATAGATTAATGGGAGAGCATTATCATAAATAACCGTGACCCTGAGACATAGCATAGTGCTTGGTGCACAGTGGGCATTAATAGCTTTTTAAATGAATGTTGTATGACTAAATGAATACTTGCTACATTAGCTAAACATGACTCTTTAAAACACTCAAGAATAAGAAGATATATGATTCTTAAACTACAGTAGTCCCCCCTTATCTGTGGGGGATACATTCTAAGATCTTCAGTGGATGCCTGAAAGCGCAGATAGTACCAAATCCTATATATACTATGTTCTTTCCTGTACATATATACCTATGATTAAGGTTAACTTATAAATTAGGTACAGTAAGAGATTAACAACAATAACTAATAATAAAATAGAACAATTATAACAATGTACTGTAATAAAAGTTATGTGAGTGCAACATTAAGTAAAATGAGAATTACTTGAACCCAAGCACTTTGATATCCCTATAGTCGATCTGATAACCGAGACAGCTATTAAGTGACTGACAGGAAGGAAGCACATACAACATGGAGACTCTGAACAAAAGGACGACTCATGTTTTGGGCAGGACACAGCAAGACAGCATGAGATTTCATCACACTACCCAGAAGAGTGTGCAACTTAAAACTTTGGAATTATTTATTTCTGGAATTTTCCATTTAATATTTTCAGACGACAGTTTATCACGGGTAACCAAAACCCTGGAAAACGAAACCACGGATAAGGGGGCACTATTGTACAGAAGTACAATTTATAACAAAAAAGTCAACTACAATATTTTATATATTTTATAGCGATTTGCTTCTAGTTCAAACAGAGCCTACCTCGTAGGAAAATTGTAAGAGATTGAAACCTAAATCGCTGCTTGTTAGAATATCCTTGAAAAGCATGAAGTGCCTTTGCAGGAATTATTTCAACTATCTGTTTATCTTAAGGCAAAGAGCAAAAAAAAAAAAAAGTTATTAGAATATACATTCACCTTAATTCCCACAATATCAGACACTATTTAAAAAATTGTAATTACAAAATGTAAATGCATTTTTACCACCAAGTACTCTAAATTTTCTGTCTTCCTGAAGTGAAGATGAACACAGATTACACAAAAAGTCATTTCTTATTGTTGCTGATTCTGTAGCACCAGGCACATGCACTCTTATATACTGAAATCCTGAAAGAAAACAAAGATAAGCTAAATTTGCCTTTAGATTTAGTTATCCATTTTCAATCCTTTAAAATTAATCTAATTCAAAGTACAATTAATTCATTTTTGTGTGTGGGTTCAGAGCAGTTCAATTAACAACTTATTGCATGGCTATTTCTTTTTTATTTTTGCTAACAAAAATAATTTTTATATTAAAAGGGACAAAACAACTGCATTGTACATTATATATATTATACACTTATTGTCAACAGTATGCCATGCTGAATAAAAAGGTAAAGATAGACCTTGAGCATAATCAAATACAGCTGTCTCTCTCATTCTTTCTCATATAAAATTAGAAAATCATTGTGCCATGGCTATTTCTTGCCAAACACTGTGCCAAGACACTGGTGATATGGATACTAAAACATACAATTTCAACGGCAGAGATGAGAGACGGATAATTCCAATCTGCAGTATTCATTTATGGAGTGCTCAGAGAGAAGAGCGGAGGGGAATCCAACCCGAAGAGAGGTAGGATGAAAGGAAAGAAGTCCTGGAGGAGGACTGAACTTACGCCAGAGGGTTGTGAGAGGATGTTATATGGAGTGGGAACAGCATGAACAAACACTCAAGAAACAATGTGAAAAGAACAAGCACTTCAGCAATACATGAACACCTGTTAAACTGGTGGGAGAGGAGAGGAAAATGCATTTCAAGATTATGAAAAGTAAACATAAACATTGGGAGACATCAAATTTTCTTCCATTCTTTCTATGCTATGTATAGTTTATAACTAATTATAAATGTGATCTAGGATTAAACAATAAATTGCTTAATGTTTTGATTTTACATTTTAATATTTACCTTTTGAAAGAGGGCATGCTTCATCCGAACAAAGAAATCTTGCACCTTGTGTATACTTGGTTACAGTTGTCATTGCAATCACAATTCCTTGCATCATATAAAATCTTTGAGATGTATAATCAAGTGGAAACTCACAAAAATCAAGACTATAACTTGGCAGAGGAGGTAAATGTGTTAACTTCAGCACTATATTAATCTAATAAGAACATAAAAATGGTATGAATAAAAACAGATCCAATTGGACTTGCATTACAATATATAAGTATATTTGTAGGGTAAATCAAGTAAGTGATTTGTTAGTATGAAGAACCAAAATTTTAAGCATAAGAGAAAAGATATTTAATAATAAAATTAAAGATGTAAAATCCTTATAATCTTGCATCGTAATTGAAATATTACTATGAACTCATAACTTTTCCTTAAAAATAGACATTTCCTGCCAAACCCACTGAAAAGATTTATAAAATAATAACAATCCAATAGCAGTGAACACTTCTACTGCCTTGATTGTGATCTCTAAATGTAATTTTTCACTAAAAAGAAACAGGGCTCCTCAGGGGAAATGACTGACTCAGGTCTGAGTCAGAAAAGATACCAGATAAACCTGGTGTATCCCTTGTGCCACAAACCAAGGAAGCATTAAAAACTAATGGGCTGTGTCAAAAGGAGACAGGAGCAAACTTTAGGGGACTCTCAGTAAGCAAAGGCATGATAATATAAGCATCAAAAAGAACGACAAAGATTCATTGAAATATATCAGATATATTTAAAAATTCATGAGTTCCTCATAATTAAGAAAAAAGAAAAACCAAAAACCAAAAAAAGTATTGGTTATCACTGGAGGCTGCTAGATTTCAACTCATTACTCTCTGAAAATTTATAAATGGAAATAATCAAACATTTATTCTGCCTTTCCTGTATAAATTGTTTTTCAGGGTAACCAAGTAGTTGATGAAAGAAGACTTCTCTTATAGAATAATTTCACGTAAAAAATTCGGAATGATAAAATTAGAAAAATCACAAAAACTCACTGATCAATTGTGGCATTGCTAAAATTGAGACAACAGATAGCACAGTTGTCCTAATGAAATGCAATATGAAATAACATGAAATGAACTATGATGTATTTTTGTCAAAATAAGTTTAATCTGTGTCTAAGAAAGTCTTTAGAGCCCACTTCTATTTTCCAGAAATGTGGGGTATACGAGGATAAGTTAAATACCACAAGAACATTATCAGACAAATCCAGATTATGAGACCTTTTACAGGACAATTAACTAGTTTCTTCAAAAACTCGGTATAAAAAGGGGGAGAATATGGCTCTAGGTTAAAAGAGACTTAGTGAGATATAAAAACTAATTATAATATGAAGACCTTGTTTTGATCCTGATTTGAACAAATCAACTGTGAGACATTCTTGAGACCCTGATTGGGTAAATTTAAATGTGGACTGGATATTATAATGATACCAAAGAATTACTGTTATCTTTGTAAGGAGTGATAATGGAATTGTGATTATGTAAAAAAATTGTCCACAAGTTTTAGAGGTTGATACTGAAGTATGTAAGGGAGAAGTAACAAACTATCTAGGATTTGCTTTTAAATTATTTCAGAAAAATACTGATAATGCAGGTATAGCAAAATACTTTAAATTATTAAATCTGAGTGATACATGGAAGTTCATTATATTATTCTCTTTATTTTGGGGTCTGTTTGAAATGTTTTATTATTAAACTGTTTAATGTTATAAGTGATAATAAAGGAAATAAAGATGCTGATGTAAGATATTCCATTGAACTTTGAAAAAATGTAATCTTTTTAAATAAAGAATATAAAAATATTTATTTATAAGTCATCTGGAAACTATTGTACCTTAGTTTTATTCGTTAAATTTAGCAAAAACTTACCTGATTTTCAGTCTGTAATTGTCCAATTAATGACAGAGTCTTAACGGCAATAAAACACACCTGTGATTTCAAACACACAAACAAGTTATCAAAAATTTCATGCGGCATAAAATTATTTCTTTCTTTAACTTACCGATTGAAAGACTTGAGAAGCTTCTAAAGGTTGGTGTAAAATGTGATTTCCAAGTTCGGTATCTAATTCAACAACATCAGAAGGATTTATTAAAATATTGAATCGATAGACAGCGTAACTTTGTTTCAAATCTGTAAAAACACACAAATATAAAAATGAGGACAGTTATATATAGGAATTTGTTTTAAAGTTTCTAAAATATAATCACCTTTGCTGAACATACCATTGTAATACTTGCAATCATCTATAAACTTCTGGAGACCTCCACTTTTGTCAAGATAGATAAGGGCTGCCTCTTTCATTTTTAGAGTTGACATTTTCTCCTAGTTAATGATTCTCCTCTATTACTAACTGGTTAAATCACAAATGCTGGTGAAAAAGTACAGATGATGAAACTCATAGAAAAGATGAGAACATCTAGAAATAAAATAAATAAAAATTTACATTTGAAGCTCTCTAATGAACTTTACATACTATGAAACTTAAAACTGAGAGTGAAATAAAACAAAGTAAAATTCCCAACTTTAAGAAATTCCTACCCGAAGGGAAACAAAACTTTTTCTTTTGCTAAATAACATTTTTATCAACACTAGGTTATTAGATTTTCTACAGATTACAAATTTAAGAACAGGAGCCTCAAATGTCCCTTTACAGATTAGGTATTCAAAAAAAATTATGCTTGAAATAAATATTGGATAATGAGGTCCCCTTACAGGCATTCTTTAAAAAATGAAAGCGGTAAAAGTTGTTTCATAAATTCAATCTAGGTAACAAAGTGTAGTTAACCTTAGAAATCCAAGAACTTGATTCTAAACCCAGCATTTCCTATGGGGAAATCACCTGACCTCTCTTGGTTCAGTATCTTCATCTGTAGAAAATGAAGTTGTATTAGATAAGGCTCTGGCATTAGTTTTCTATCAATGAGCAACATAAAACATTAAACCATTGTAATGAGTAAAGAGTAGGATATGTAAAATTCATTTAAAGACAATAAACACTAATTGGAAACAACATATGCCAATAATTGTATTAAGTGCTAGGGTTAATATGATTAAGATTGGATCCTGACTTCAAGGAGCTGCCAATTTAGAGGTCAGAAATAATGACTGTCACATTTATTTATCATCAAATATTTACTGGGCATTTACAATTTACTGGGTACCAGACTGTCCTAGGCACTGGAGATACATGAGTAAAAAATATGGTCTCAGAAAAAGTACAGTGAGGAATGAGATATGTAAAAAATTACAACTTACGTGCTATAAACGAAATATTAATGTACTATTTAGCATGTAACATGAAATAGTTCACAAAATTTGGGGTCATCCTTATGTAGGGGCTATAATTTTTTCTATTGTTTTTGGACATTTTAATATGGAGGGGTCATCGAGAAGCAATGAAATTCTACTTAAGGGTGACATTTGATAGATGATTAAGATTTCACTAATTGAAGGATAGGTGAAGAGTGGAGAGACAGTGTTCCAAAGACCTACACTATTGAATCCATATCCCTTCTACTTGGAGTTCGGGTTGCTTTCAAAAAAAAAAAAAAAAGTAATTGACTGTTCCTTTTTACTAGTATATAGTGGAGAAAACTTGAGTTTATTCCTCTGAGGCCATTAAGTCCGTATAATAACCTTAAAGTGTATTTTATGTTCAGGACGTTACATCTGTGCTTCATTAGAACACAAGGTTTCTGGGACTGAAGGAAGGCAGGCTACTGATAACGAAACGAAGACGAGGCATCAGTCTTTAAGCAAGGGAGTGGTATAGTCAGATTTTTATTTTGGAAACCGATGCCTTCCGCTCGTGTGGAATGTGGGTGGAAACAAAGGAAGAGTCAGTAATGTTTCTAGCTAGCGAGAGTCCTAAGAGAAAGTTTGCTCAATCTGGGCTATGAAATGGAATGGAGAAGATGGATTCTAGACTTTTAAAGATTTCACACTGGACTTGGTGGCCACCAGCCTGTGAGTTTTCCACGTGGGTGTGGGTGGATGTTGATGTTCTAATGGAAATATGGAACCCTGGAGAATAGGAAAATGATGAAATTCATTTGAGATATTCTGACTTTGACGGGTTCTTGGGACACCCAGATTATAGGTGCTGGGGCGACGTGAACCAGGGCCCGGAATTGAGTAACTTTTAAAAAGCTAGAGATAAAGCATTGGGTACCAATCATCTGTGTAAAGCGGCCGTCCTGGGCGTGGATGCATTTTCAAGGAAGGGAAAAGTGGAGGAAAAGACATGGAAACCTGCGGAAAGCATTAAATAAGCGAACGCGGATAAAATTCTACCAGCCTTCCCACAGTCTAAAGAACCCAGGTGTTGGTTCGCTTGGAACAGGCGCAGGTTGTGTCTCCGCGCCTGGCCGCGATGGCAGGAAAACACCTCACAACCAAAGCTGCTGAAAGCGAAGCCGCCTCACACCCTGGGATCCAGGGCCCCTCCCATCCACAGGTCCACCTCCGGTACCGCCGACCCCGCCCAGGAGCGCGTTACACCCACGCTGGCACCCACCGAGTTCCACCAGTCGCGCGCCACCTGGAGCCTGCACCCAGGGAGGCCCTCGCACGCATGCGCGCACCTTCAGGCCGTTGGCAGCGCGAGGGCTGCCGGGAACCGCGCCTCCCAGTCACTAGGCAA